AATTCTTCAATTTTCAGTGCTTTATGTCAGAAGATAAATACATTGAAGTATAAATAACTATAACGTGCTTATTTTCATGTGTTTCAGCAAGTATTAGAGGCACAGCAAGGACTTGGTTAAGAAAAGCTTACATATGCGACCTTTTACAGAACATACAGAAGGTTTCATAACAAAACAGTTCAGAAACACATAAAAAAACTCGTCCTTACATCTCATTAGCTAGTTCTTCTCTAAATTTTTTTTTGCTTTCTTAATTTAGTGAAAAGTAAATAGTAACAGAATCATAAATCAATGCCTTTACTGTACAAGCTTACAAAAATGAGTTTGCTGCTGCATTTTATCTTAGCACTGTAAGTCAGATACATAAGAGTTTGTCGATTCCAAATGAGAGAAGGATTCTTGCTCTGAACTTCTACACCGTAACACTAAACAACACTTTGTGACAGAGAATTATGACATGAAAATACCTATTTTTTTTCTCCACAGCTTCTCAAGTAGCAACTCAGACTAGCAGGACTGACTGTGTCACTGCACAACCTTTCCCTGGCTTATATAAAAACATGCTGATCTGCTACTGCTTGTACAAACTATACATAATCTCAGATCTTAGAAAAAGATCAGTTTCATTATCATAAATCAAACAGCATCCAACACTGGGGCCTGGCTCCCAGACAATGTAAAAATGTGTCAGCTTCATTTCGCAATGTTCAAAGTACAACTGAGATGTAAATATTTTAAGCTATCAAAACATGCACTCCGACCTAGACTTTTAAAAAAACAACTTGTAATTCCAGTAAAGCAGCTACAGAAGCCTTAATATGTCCTAGTCAGCGACTCAGAAATCTTCTGTTAAATGCTTACATTCACACATATCAAGTTTGAAATAATTACATATTTCTTAGCTACTCATGATTCCTCTGAACTTCACTGAGAGTTCTAACATTTTTAAGAAAAATAATTTTGTAACATGTTCTGTGGTTTTAACACAGAAGAAAAAAATCTTTTTGGATATAGAATTTACATAATGGTACAAAAATGGTATTACAATCTTCCCAGACTTTCATGAATAAATTTGCTTTGCTATTAGCCAGACATGCTACACCAGCTTCAAGCATTTCCCTTTTTGTAATAGGGACTTGACTTGAAATCAACAGACTTTAAATCAACTTCTTTGCTATTATTTAGGATATAAGTGAAATCACCAACATAACGTACCCATCGGCCATTTACAGCTGGAGGTTGGGTGTGGCTTTGATCTGACATACTGGCCCAAATGCTACATTCTCATTGACCAATGTCCAAAAATTCTCAAATTACAATGCGAAACACACTCTGCCATCCAAAATTATACTGAGCAACATATGCATTGGGAACAAAAATAACCTGGAAGTGGCAGCAAGAGTTTCTTAAAATAGGTTGTCCGGAAGCATGACACAGTTCTTAACAGCTGAGACTAAATGAGAGGTGACAAACAACATAGACTCAGTATTTCCCAGGCCACTGTCACATCGCGAGCCCTAAAAACATGATCTAATAGATTTGAAGTAATAGAAGTATCTTTCCAGTCTCCATAATCCTGAAAAATTAATGACACACTGTGACTGCCATTTAAAATGTGTGTTTTGTTCATCTTAGACCTGCTATAAATATTACAATAAAACACCTTGACCTGTATGCAAAATACATAACAATGAAAAGAAATGATACAATATGAGTAAACTCACAACTGTTGTTACATCTTGGTTCCAAGTCCTCAATAATAGCTCGTTTCTTCTGTAGCTCATTGTTAGCTTCATGGAGCTTCTCCCTGTTACAGAACACAAAAGCATATATTATTTTCCCAGTATGTTTATTTCGTCTGGATTAAGTGACAAAATATACCAGTTATATAGTCCTTGTGATTGACTTTTGGTTGTACAATTTGAGGACAAACGACAGGTGGATCAATACCACCACAGAAATGCTTGTAAAATAAACCAGAAAAGCAGAGCAGTACAGAGATAACTGTAACAACACACAATTTATAAATATATAAACTTGCAGAACAGAAACTGTGCATATTTTGGTAAACTGGTTAATAAATGAACAACTCTGCATTTTAGTAAACTGCAAAAATAAAAGCAGTGCAGAAACAGTTGAACAAAATGGTAACATTAACTACAATCTTATCTTTTATTCAAATATATATACTAGAAAAAAAAAAACAAGGAAAATGAGTTATTACTCCTGAATAAAGATTTACACGATGTCAAGTTTTCTAATCACAAAATTAAGATTCCTGTACAGCTCTAATCTGGCAAAGCTTTTCTGAAAGAGGTAGAATAAATAGCTAAATGACAAATCCCTTAATACTGCTGCACTGTCTAAATTTTTCTTGGATATGCGTCTTCTGGATATATTATTAATGAGTGTCGACCATCTCACTGCTGTTAACGGGTAAACACGTGCTACCATATAGAAAGGCAGATCATTTCATACAGAAAAGAAAAAAAAAAAGACAAAATACTTACAGATGCTCTTCTAGCTTCTTTTTCAGAAGTACTGACTAAAACAGAAAGTTAAATGCATCATTTTAATACACTGTGGAACTTTAATATTATTTCAGGTAACTTAAACATATAACTGACAATTACAATCAATTATTACTTCACTCAGTTCTATATCACAATTATAAAGCCATCTCTGTGGCAGCTATCCCCCCGCTGATAGTTTTGTAACTTTTATCATATTAGGATACTTTATAATTTTACAATTATTTTTCGGAATCAATGCAAGACTTTAAATGACAAAACTCTATGGAAGTTGTTTTTCTTTCTTAATGATTCAGTACTTTGTAGATGAGACTCAACTAACATAGCTGAAATTAGAAAGTGAAATTAGAAAGGAAAAAACTTGCTGGAAAAGCTGTCCTACCAATGCTGCAAAGCAACCTGCACAAGGACTTAGTTGAAGCAAATTCTTGGCCCCATAGAAATTAGCAAAGAGTGAAGTGCCTGGCTGGAGCATGGCAGAAAAGTCACCCTCACTTGCTCTATTTTTCAGTTTCACATCCTTAGTGTTTGTTTACAGACATGTAAATATCATTCAACTTACAGTGTTCCACTTTTTGGATAAAACACATTTGGTTAAAACACATAAGCTCTTTAAATATAAACTTTAAAATAAATCTTAGTTTAATCTTAAACTCACTTTACACACAGTAAGCATCTTTCAAAAAATAAAAGCTATGCCTGTATACTGAATGTAGTGTTAAGTAAATAGAAAGCCATACTCACAATAGCCTTGAGCAGAAGCCCATGCCAAGAAACAGAGATGACATTAGTATAAAGCAAAACAGCAGCCAACAGAAGAAATATTTAGTTACTCATGAACAGAAAAAGTTAAAGCGATGCATTTTTTCAAACATGCACATTTTTCTCCTCTGTTCTCATCAGAAGTTTCATTCTGCAACATTTTCTAAAACATTTCACTAAAAATAGAGATATAATAGTAGCAAAAAAGCACATGTGTAAGTCAAGTGATTGAAATCATAAATTCAAAGGAGAGCAAATGCTGTTTTGAAAAATCTTTTGAAAACAAAAGTCACATCAGCAACAAAACAGAAAATACGCAGTCCACTGGAGTAAAACCAACATGAAGAGATGCACAGATTCTGGTGGAGTGATTGTGAACTGTGATATATTCACACAGATTAAATACAAGAGAAATGCAGAATATTTAAGTCAGAGGCAGCCTTTTTGTTTTGTATTTATTCAATACCAGTCACAGGGGGCTCTATTATGTGACTGATGCTCCACAATCCTATCTCAATTCAAGATAAAAATCAAAGGGACTTCACTGCTTTTCCTGCCAATGCTTTTTCAACATATGTTAAAACACACAGTCAATGGAGACATATGAATGTGCAGCCTCAGAGAAGTTTTTAGCTTTGTTGTAGCATAAATACTTCAAAATACAGACTTTGACCACATTCTTGCTTATTCCTGTACTTGTCAAAACTGCTTCCACTGGTTTATTCTCACATTATTTGTACACTACTAGCACTTTTGTGAGACCAAACTGCTCCCTCTCTCTTCCACATGGATTGAATGTTCTCATGGACAAGCACCTAACAATGATTCACAGTGCGAACAAACGAAGGGGTAGGCTACCTAGAAAGAGGAATTTACTCATCATAAAAGATCAGGTAAAAGGTGCTTTCAGCGTCTTGTGGTCATATTCTCGCCTCTACTGAAGTCAAGCTCCTTAGATTCTGTGACTTACAAACACACTACTTGCACAAAGATCCTGCCTAACAAGATACTTAAGTTCAGAGAAATCAAAAGTGAATTGCTCTAAAAATAGGCACTGTTTTATAGTCATAGCTTCAAACTCATATTATGGAATCCTTTGTGCATTACGGTAATTCCTATAGATGTTTCTTGAACAGAAAGAATGTATCTCAAGAAAAAGAATAATTAAAAGCTTGATCTAATTTTGAGCTAGCTACAGAATGGTTGAGGTTGGAAGAGACCTTTAGAGATCATCTAGTACACACTCGGCTTCATTCAAAGGTTCTGTTTATTCATACAAGAAAAATGTTTCTATAACAGGACTGTAAAAAATAGCAAATGTAGAATATTCTGCTTTTTCTCACTAGTAAAAAAAAAATCCACTTATGAAACCCCTGAAAAACATATTTATGATCTTATTTTAGCAAACAGATATCCTCTCCATTATACAATCGCTAGCTTTTCTCTACATCAAAAAAAATAGAGAAAGTAAATTTTTTGCTGGAAACTTCTTGCTTGTTAAAGCTTAAGACCAAAGAGGTCTATCATGTTTTTAGGGACAAATAATTGGTTTTGCTCTGCCTATTAAGGCCAGGCTCTATCCTGAGGTTGAGCTAGAATGTGAGAAAGTACAGCACAGGACATCTCTAAAATTCCTGGATGTGACAGTGTGAGAAGCAGATGAAAGTTACAGACAGCACCACCCCTCGTGGGGACTTCAAATTTCACAGGCAGCTAAGAGTTATGTGCAAAGTGTCTCAAGTTCACAGGTAAGTGAACAGACACAGAGGTTATCTGAGACCTTTCAGGACACAAAGCCTCACCAAATGCTCAGGATCTAATAACTGGTATCTATGATAGTATATGGAGCCAACATTGCCAGTGGAGTGGTAGGAGGTAACACCTTTGGGTAAAGATGCAGATAGACTGGTTCCAACAGAGGAAGACATATTTAAGAATGGGTTGTTCATTTGGGAAGGCACTGGAGCCAAGAAAGGGAGAACAAGAATGGAGAAAGGGCAGGTCAGAAAACGGGAAGCCGGATAATAAGGTGTGTAAATGATGCAATGAAGGTCCTTTGGGCTACCTGTTGAATTGCCCAGCGCCTGATTAGTGCATGCCAGGGTCTAGTTGCTCTTCTGCACACACCGTGTGTGCACGTCTGACTTGGCTCTGTGGTCAGGAGAACCAGAGCTGGGGGCAGCCACTCCCTGGGTAGCGTGGCAACACCCAGGGTGCAATCGTGTCCCAGTGTGACACATGAGCACTGCTGATTTAATCTTCCTTCACCTTCAGTATTGAAATTAAAACGGCTTTCCCAGTCATGGGTACCGGCAAGCAAGATGTGTACTTAGTTTGCAGTGGCACTTGTCTAGATTAATATAATGTTTTTACTGCTTTTCCAAATGTAGAAAAAAAAAATTGCTCTAATTTGGGAAAGCAGCCGAGAACTAGAAGCCCCATGCTCAAAATTAAGCATCAGTGAAATGCATGCTGTGTTCTTCCTTATTCTTTTGTTTCTCTGTCATGTTTCTAAGAATCATTCTTTCTCTAAGGCTAGCTTAAAGATAACTCAGCATGAACAAGCACAACTCAATCTACCCTCGAAGCTGGGTTTAAGGTTGGCCCTGTTTCATGAGTGGGTGAGATGTCCACTCCTTCTTTATGGGTAGCTAAGATGTCCACTCCTTCAGAGTGCAACCTTAAGTATTCGGTGGTGCTATGCTTCTGTAAGGGTAACAGCAGACCTATATACCCAACTCGGCAAGATGGGCCATGGTCAGAGCTACATAGAAGCCAAGATGCATAAAGCCATGAGCTTTTGTTCTGCTTCAGCAGGCCTGCACACAACCAGCTGTGCAGCACCATGGGGTGGCAACGATGTTATTCTGCTGTTAGCAGAACAACTGCAGACTATGCCCACACCGGCTGTAGCTAATATCATAAATGCACTGTATATGTACCCTGTAGTGCTGTCCAAGTCAAGGCCCTAAAAAGAGACAGAATGAAAACTGTAATAAAGTTGCATTTACACACTCAATATCTGAGGGAAAAAGTACCTTCCTATTTTACCTTGAAAAAAATTGAAATTATCTATACTGAAGACAACAAAGAACATTGTAGAATCGTATGGACCTTTTCTAACAGAAATTCTAAGTTACTCAGAAAAATACTTTAATTGAAGCCTAGAAGGAAGTTCATTTTCATGCAGCTTACTTGGGGAATGAAAAGGATAAACTAAGTTAAATATACTCCTTAACAAAAACTAGCAGCTAACAAAATTTTGCATTGTTTTATTTGAATTAGTTAAAATAAAAACACAAAAGTAGAAAGCAATCCCATCTACAAATTGTAGCCAATTAACACAGAAACGCAATCAGACTGAGTGGACAGTGTTCTAGAGATTCTCCTCTAAGAACACATGAGACAGCAAAAGCAATTTTTCAGTGGAAGACTGAAAGTTGTTTTTCACTAACTCTGCCATTTCCTATTTAAATTATTTTACTATATAACTATAGTTAAACTATATTTAATTTATATTACCCTAAGGGACTAATCATTTGACTCTTAGTTTTAGACTGCATGGATCTTGCGTTAAGATAGTCATCAATTAGGGGGCTTCCATTGGCAGGAAATGCTTCCATCAGGAAAAGTTAAACAAAAATAACTTAAGATAATTTACTAAAACAAGGAGAATTACCATGTTTGTAATTCCGTACAGAAGTCTCTGTTCTAATAAAGGAATTACAATAATGTTGAATTCCCTATCGGAAAGGCATATTGAATCAAATAAATGTGTCTGATTCCTTCTCTACATAAGATGTGTGTCTACTTTTTCAATCACCAATGCTTTATGTCTTATTTAGGCAAACATAATTCAATGTTAAAGCCCTAACAATGAATATGGAAATCTATTATAAATCTCCACCTGCATTTTTTTTTATAACAACAGAAGTATTATATAAAGCTGAATGCTAGAATAAAAACTACCTGATTGCAAGTTTGATGTACATTTCTACTTACATCTTCAGCTTTTGAACCTTGATCTTGCAAAGATTTCTGCAGTTCTTCAACCTGGGACTGTACTTCTAGAAGCCGCTGATTTACCAACCTAGAAAACAGAAATTATCCTATTTTTCAGAAAAAGAACAACCAACTATAATAAGTAAATAAATAAATAACCCAGCTGCAAGATAAATCCTGAGACTTTCAGAATCATATTTAGGTCATCTATATAAGTCAAGCAATGCTATTTTATTAACTGAAAATTTAAAACATCGTTAGAGTGTACAGCAGTTTTAGGGATTACAGTGTGCCACAGGGCATTCTGATACTCTCCCCAAACAATGAAAATAGATGCGTTTCTGATAAGAAATAGATGCATAGATAGAATAGATTCTGAACAGATGCATTTCTAGATAGATGCAACATAGCTTTCCAACAGTTGCTTCTATTGTGCAAAAGTTCCTAACTGCTTTTACACTATCATAGCATCATAGAAGCCTGTAGACCAGGAGGGACCTCTGGAGATTGTCCACCATAAGCTAAAAGAAAACCAGTCCAAGGTGGCTGTTCGTGATTATGTCCAATTGTCGTTTGGGAGGACAGTTTTCCAGCAGTTGGTCACCATTCTGAGGATACGTTTTTCCCTTGTGCTGTCAGAATTACCCAAGCTCCATCTTGTGTCTTCTGTTTCTGTCCTTTATTGTCCATCTCTTTGAAGAGTTTGATTCTCTCTTCTTTACATTTTCCCATTAGGTAGACATAGACCACAGAAAGATCTCCCCTATGGCAGCCCTTGTTGGATGCCAAACCCAAGTGTCTCAGCCTCTCCCCACATGTCCCTGAACCTCACTATTTTAGTAGTTTTCTGCTGGACTTCAATAGGTCAATGCCCTTCTTGTACTGGGGACCCCAAAACTGCATCCTGCCTCCAGGGGCAGAATGAGTGACTATAGCTAGTCACTTTTATTTTTTTTGGACAAAAAGATTTTTTCCCTGACCACAGTCTGCTCAAGTCAGAAGAGTCTGGCGTTGTTAAAGGAAAACAAAACAAAAGACAAATCACTGGAATGGAGAAGAATGCCTCCTTACCTGTTCTCTGTCTCCAGTTCATTCTTCCGTAAGTTTGCATCATCAAGCAGGCTCTGCAACAAGGCGATCTTTTCATTATCAGAGCCTTCTTGGTTCAGCTTTAATATCTTATTCTCATGTTGAAGGCGAATGAGTTTCTCCCTAAAAAGAGAAATACTATTTGCTAGGAAAAGTATGCTGATATCTGTAGAGAAGAAAACTATTTAGTACAGGAGGTGTAAAAATAAATTTTACATTATCTTTACTTAGGGATACACTCTTAAGACCGGGCAAAAGAGAGCATGCATCAGCTTACTTGATTTCAGGAGTAACAATTTCTGCTGCTAAACTGTCTGAAGGTTCCTGGCTTTCTAGGGACATCAAACCTGCAACAGGAAAACAAAAAAGAGAATTTTAGCATGATAACTAGTAGCTTTCTTTTAGAAGACTAGAAATAATTTTGTTCCACAAGTTTACAGTTTTACAATAATGTTCTTAAATAAACACGCAACTGGCCAGAGTTCATCAGAAACTTTAAGGTGTTCTAAAATGCTTGTAAAGTTATGAATTAGCAGAAACAGTTTTGCAAGCTGAGCTTAGAGGCGTTGGAATTCAATCTCCTTTCAACAAAGGCATATTAAATGTACACTACAAGACCTCTATGAGCTTTAGAAAAGATGCATCTAACCTCCTTATTTGTCCTTTACCTGAAGTGGTGAGTTGACCTTCCTGTGCTTGTACACATCGGAGTTCTTCAATAGTTTCTTTCAAAGAATCTCTTTCTGTTCTTAACCTCTGAATAATTGGAAATAGAATTGGTGTTAGTCTTGGCACAACACAATTCATTAAAACTAGGCAAGCTACCAAAAGGCATGGTATCAGCACTTAAGAGGAATTTATACACAACTCAAGAGATTTTCTAATCACGGCATCTGAATCTATTCCATAAGAGAACAAAGATCAAATATTACAGTGGTTCTTTCTGGAGAGTGGCTGCTCCATATTGTGCTTACAAGGACAAAGCTATAAGCTTACAAAATCAAGATAATAATAACACAGAGCTCTGGTGCCAGGTAATAAACGGTATCCATGAGGACCACTCAGCCACTCTTCTTTTTCCGCTCAGAAGAGGTTGATTCCAAGGGAAAAGGAAGTGAGACAAGAGACTACAGACTACTTTTCAAGAAACTAAGATTCAGCCCAGAGAATGGCAGGGAGATACATAGTCAACATAAACAAACTGCATTAACTTTACTTTGTCTCTCTTTCAACAGTGCCAGTCTAAGTAGTTCCACCTTCCTCTCCTGATGCGTGCCAGCTGCCCTTGCTCAAATAAGCAGCTCAGATATGGAAGAAAATTGGTTGCTTAAGACTCAGTCCAAAGAGAACTGAAAAACAGCATTCAATCATCCTAAAAAAGCTAAATAGATACCAATAATGTCAGGCCCATATGCTACTATGTGGCAGAAGTCCACTTTTGGCAAAATATGAGAAACTTCAGTAGTTTCTCCAGTTTCTCTGAGACAGTAGCTCCAAGTAGTTCAAGTCCCAAGACTCAAAAAGGAGAGGAGAGAATGACAATTTAAGAGGCAAGTGTAGTTTGCTACAAAAATCAGGATGTGTCCAATGCTACTACAAAGTGTGGGACAGACCTCAGCTCTGCACAGGTAGAGTTGTGCCAGCTGATAGCTCCTTGCATCTGATCTTGTGAACAGCTGGATTCAGACATGTATCGGCTCAAACAAATCCAGGACTTGGGATAATTTTGGGAAAGAATACTTTGGTGAGCTGGGACAGAGGCTTCTCTTGCATTTCTGAATGCTTTAAGTTGGACTCTGGTTTTATTCTTGAAGCAATCAGGATAAAGCGGGCATTTCACAAATCCCAGGTATCACAAAACCAGATTCACCACTGCAATAAAAAGAAACACCCAGCAGGAGTACTCAAATTCAGTTGCTGAAAGCAAAGATCCTAGAGCCTGATGCAATCTACCAGAAAACAAGCTGATTACTCAAATGCCAGAACATTTCAAGGACTAGAGGAAGCTCTAGGGCTTCTTTCAGACACTGACAGAAACATAAAAAGTCAACCCATCCAATTGTGTTAGTATTTATCAGTATTTATCACACCATAAAAGGAAATTTTCAAACCAGGTAGTTTAAGATACCAGACACACACCACAGAATTTTGCCAAAACATAAAGACAAAGACAAAAACATTATTCTCAAGATACCACTAAATAAACTTTCAGCCTGTGATAAGAAATGTTGATAATACATTAGAATGTGTCAATTAGGGAACAGAAAGTATAGGAAACACAGGTGGAGAATCATTAACCCAAAGACTGAAAAACTCTTTCAGCTCTGATCTACTTTCACAGGAGACTAACCATTCAAAAGGATGCAATGAAAAAAACTCCCCCAAAAGTCGCATTTATTGGCAGATGGCAAAACAGAAGTCTACAGCTACAGTGGCCTGCAATTCAGATCCTTTGTGCAAGATGAAATGGTCCACCAAGCAACAGGTAAGCCACAAGCACAATTTTACCATTGTCAAACAAACTGAAGAAATATACTTTAAATAAACAGCAGGAAAGAAAACCAAAGCACAATATGATGAAAACAACTACTATGAGCATTCCAGTCAGAACTGAATGGGAGAAGGAAGTGATGTCAAGGATGGGTGTACACGGTAGTTAATAAAAAAGTGGAAATCAAAGACCAATAAATAGCATATAATAAAGAATTTTCAGTTCAAATGCTATCTGAAGTGGAACAACTGAAATTCTAGGATAGATTGCACAGGAAGTTATGTCCAGGGAAATGCCTACAAAGATTCTGTCTGATGGTCAAATAAACTTACACCTCACTGAGACATTGCTAATGCAAGTGCTGGGAGTGTTTTAACAGGAATTTTGAATCACTGACAGATTCGTAAGAAAGTCAGACAGAAGTAAATTAGTGAGAAACAAGAGTATACAGGAAAACCTGGAAGGATGGGTCTTGATAAGAGAATACAGAGCAGACAAGCTCAAAATCATTTGCAGCATACAACAGAGATGACCTAACCTGTGTATTTATTAGCACTAGAAGACAGATCAATCAGCTTCATAAAAGGCAGGACTGCAATAGGAAACTTATCATTCTACAAGATTCCTAAACCTCCTGCTAAAGTGGTCCTGACTCTACAAAGAGAAACATGTGTGTGATACTTGAGGAAAAAGACTGAGTTTAGTTTTAGAATACTACGGCAAAAACCCTACACTAGGTTTTCAGGATACATCAGGATCATCTTTGGCATTTATTAACCTTCTCATGACAAGTGGCCAAGAAACAATTTCAGACGATGCATATTAGAACTTAAAAAAATGTTGCACACCTTTATTCTCTGCTGTATTCCCTAGGTTTATTAGAAAATAAAGTGAAAAAAAGATTTCCTAATTCAAAAAAAAATGCTGTTAAAGATTACTTTTGATTATCACATTTCTGTGTAAGAAATGACACAATGTTGTTTTTACTACTACCAAACAAAGCATCTTGACACTTACATCTTTTTCTTTTTGGAGGCTGTCTACTTTTTCTTTCAGCCGTTTGCATTCATAATCTAATTTATCAGCTTTCTTGGATTCTTCAGATAATCTGTTTTGTAGTTCAACTGCCTGCGAGAACAAGAATCAATAGTTTGTCTGCAAACATTAATATTAAAACAAAGTATTCAAGATAAAGAAGTCAATTACCATGCACCATGAGACACGTTTAGAACAAGTGAAATATTTACCTATAGGACATACTAAAAAAATGCTTTCGTCATTTGTTTGGTTTCAGTCACAGTATTAAGTCTTACCCCAATAGCAAAAAGAGGCCAAAAAGCATAAGGTATTGTCAGTATTCAAAAAGAAAAAACAAATCCCAAGCATGGTCTACAGGGGAAGGTCTATAATTCTACAGACCAAAGAGCTCAGGAAAAGTAGAGTTATCCTCCTGATTTCCGAGAAGCCTAGGGGAAAAAAAAAGCGTCTCTGAAGAAATTAAATGTTCTTTGCTTTTTGTCACCTCTGTTTCACCTAATTTAAAGATTCAGCCATAGGCTGTTCATTTCAAAAGAAAACACATGGCTCAGCCTCATACGTACTTTCAAGCTACAGATCAGCAAAGAGCTTTTAAACTTAGAAGAGGAGAAATCCACAAAGCTAGCAGAAATGCTCAGTGCGTGACCAGTGGATGATCAGCCTCACATGGAAAGCCTCACCTTTTCAAACCTTCAGACTTCACTACGTCAGCCCCAGATTTTTAGTAGAGCTCAGTGCAGGGAGCATGGAAGCAAGTAGGCTGAACAAAAACTGGCTGCAAACACGTAAGCTGAAAGAAAACTCAGCCAAAGACATTCAACCTCTTCTGGAGCTACACACAAGAAGGTTTTCTTAATGTCTTCATTTTAGATTACAGAGTAACCCACTAGACTAAATCAGGAAGCAAAGCAGTTGCCACCCCTATATGGGAACATGCTTGGCAGTTTCAGTGATCTTTCATTTTCAACATATATCTACAGCAAAATAACTGCCAGGTTATTCTGCATGGTTTTAGTTTTACAATGAAGGACTTTGCTGCTCGTGCTCTTAAAGGATGAGTGTGGGAAGGAGAGCTGACGAGGGGGAAGGAGGGAGCCTACTACTCCCGAAATCATCAGCAAAATAATCCAAATGTAACACTTGAAAACACGTAGATCCTCAAATATGACACGTCACTGGGGCTTCCAGTGACATGTAAAAACGCAGGCTTTCACCTATGACTGTGCTCCCCACTTGTAAAATGGGTATAATTCCACCTCACATGGCAATAAATGCACTAATATTTGTAATCAGTTGCAAAATGATAATGGTACATTAGGAAACAGCAGAAGGAAATTAATAGTCTTGCGTCAGAATCTGAGCAGTGTGTAAGAAGATATAAAGCTACATATTCATGCAGAAAAAGCAAAGAAATCAGCCATCACATTTACTGAGCAATTATCTGACGTGGAATGAAGGATCCTGTGGGAAAGCAAAGCAGGACACACTGTTTAAAAAAGAAACAACAACAACAAAAAAACTCAGAATGCACATGCACAAAGGGGCTGAATTAAAATTACACAAAATCGATCTGGAATCTTCACATTTCAGTTCTTCAAGCTGCAACAACAGTTTTCTAAGAAAATACTTACTTCCAGAAAAGTGAATAGAAGATTCCTACACAAAACATAACTCCTAAAATCAATCACTGCTGCCCTCATCCCACAGAAACTGCTGGTTGGGACAACTACAGGAATTTCCTCTTGGTCACCAGAGCAGTCTGAACCAAGCACTTTCATGAGCAGTGCGCAGAGGATCTAAGCCAAAGAATTAACTTGTCCGATTACATTGTCATCACTGGGACTGGATTCTCCACATACCAGGAATGACAGATTACCATAACGGGGCACACTACTTCTCCGTGGTGTATATCAGCACACTGACACCTGGCTTACTTCCTACTACACTACTCAAAGCTAGGAGTTTCAGAAACCAATTTTGTGACGTTGGGTATTCAGGCTGTCTTCACTTCCAGTGCAGCTCTCAAAATGAGTCCAGCCTTACAGATACTAAGGCAAATAGGCTCCGTGTGTTCATCCTGAGGGAGCGTACGCAGCTGAATGAAATCACACCTGCCAGGTGGGAGCCCTGATGTGCAGTCCAGTCTCAGCCAGTGGCACAGTTTTCATGTCTGTTTGTATGTCTCAATAGTTCCTCTCATCCATAACATCCATGGGATGAGGGAGAAAAGGAGGAGTACTTGGCAGCCAGGCAGCCAAAGTACAAATAATGGGGCTGCCCTTTCCAAAAGTCTGATCATCAGTGAAATAAGAACAACTGGATGCAGATGTAGAGCTTATACATCTACAACGTATTCAATTGTTTAAAGCACAGAAATTCATTATAAGCAAACACGATACTACTGGTATGTGACAGGCCACTTCCTTTCTATGTTTACTCTCTTCCCTTTGAATATTTTAACCTTTTCTTGCCTAGAGGAGTCTCTCTCCCTGCCCTGTGAACCCATGTGGACTGAATTCACGATTAGCCCAGGGAGGCTGAAACTAACTGCCCTAGGGAACTAAGATGGCCACATACAGGGAAATAGCTCTCAGTTTGAGGGATACACATTCCTCCTGGGATTGCAGTATTGTTAGCTGTTGCTTTCGTATCTGTTTTCTGCTGTAAGCAGACATTCAGGGACACTGGTGGCATGACCATTCAAGGTTATGAAAAGGCAGGCTACAGAGTGGGCACTGTTTACATTAATTAACCAGGCATGAGCTGGTCTTGTAACTGGAAAACCACAACGATGTCATGCCAGTGTAACGCACAAGCTGAGAGAAGATAAGAATGTCTTACATCTTCACAGGAATATGATTGCATTACTCTTGGATAAGCAGGAAAATAAGCACATGCTCTCCACTCCCAGAGCATGCTGATGATACATTTGTTTATTCTTCTGATTGCATTTAAAACAAAACAAAAGAAGACAGAGAGAGGAGGATGTTTATCTTTTTATCTTCTGGATAAAACTGGACAAATTCAGACATATTTGATAAAATAAAACCTTAAAAATATAGCAAGAAAAAAAAAAAAGGAGAGGTTTCTGAGTCACTGACATAACTTACCTTGACTATGGTAGACCCCTACTGCTGGAAATTTAAAGTGAAGCATGGATGCTTTTTCTGAAAGTTCTAGATCAAGCTCCACTACTGAACATGGATTAGGAATAATTTAGGAAAAATAGCTTTAAATCTGCTCATTTTTGAAAAGTAAAAAAATGCTGCTTATTGGCGACAAAGTAAACTTATGATAATGCAGGAAAGGAATAGAAAAGGAGTACCTGCAAAACACGTAAGCCTCCCAACAGGGAGCTGATTGTTCCTTATGTTTTTTATTATTTACCTTGAAGTATAGCCCATGCTGTGAAGAGAAAATGCTGAGGGATGCAAAGAGCTTTCCAACTGGTGAACTGGTGAATTTCACCATTCTATGATTCCGTAATGCCTGTTCTTACCTGCCTCTTGTACGTCTCCAGCTGACTGCGTGCTGCGTTGGCCTTCCTCAGTTCCTCTTCCAAGCTCACAGTATTTTGCATGTACACTGTGTTCTTCTCTTCTAAGAGTTTCACTTGCCGTCTCAAGTCACCCAAGTCTTCCAATTTCTTTTTGTATGATTCTACCTGACTTTCTAACTTGGCAACTTTATCAGAGGAATGCCTGTAGGGACACATTTGTATCAAATCTATACTTGGAAAACTAAAAAACACCTGAAGCTTCCTCCATATAATGACTTAATGCAAAAAATTTCGTCAGACATCAAAGGCAGTACAAGAAAATGATCATATCCTTACTAGATAACTAGGCTTACTTTGTCTGCTCCCTCCCATTACTATTTGTAATCTCGAAATGTGGCTGTTGGAAATGCTTTTAGACAGTACCATTCTTCTCAACACATCTTTCTTTTCTGTTTCCTATATTAATTTGCAGTAATAGTCAAAACTTCTCGTCTCTCATCCATTTTTTTAACTTTTAAATCCATTCTTAGAATCTTATTTTTTTACCAAGCAATGACATTTCTGCCACTGACTTTGTTTTAAAGACAATTAAGGATAATCATTACAGTTATCCATCTCCCAGCTAGTCTATACTTGACAACACGAAAGTGCCATAATAGGCCTGGAACCTGATGTCTTAAGAGAAAGGTAACACAGAGTTCAGTTTGTAATATATTCAGGCAAAGTTTTCTCTATCCAACATACATTGCTTTAAGTTACACTCAAATCATAAAATTTCAGTTTGATTTAAAGCATGCATCAGTAGAAAAACAATTGTGTTTCGAAAACTTTCAGAGAAAAATAACAAAACTCAGAAGAACTATAAGGTAAGGAAGACAGAAGAGAGAGTTGCTTTTGTGCTTACTGCTCTGAGGTTGGATGACTTCAATATGACTATCATTTTGACAGCCACAACACAGTTCAGTGTTTCCTTAGAAAATTTTATATTAAAAATGTGTAAGAAAAATTAATGAAGACCAGTTATATAAATTATAGGGACTAAATGTTAATAAGTACACTTTAAAAATGGTTAGCAGAATAGAGTTTACCTGAGTACATCTATCTCATCCTTCAAGGACTGAGCCTCCTCTGCCAATGTAGTAAGCTCTTCTGTCTGTTGTCTCAATTCAGCAATTTCCTTTTCTAGTTCTTCACACCGTATTCGATAGTCATCTTTGGCAGCTTCTAATCTGCAGGAATGAAGTAAAACACAATGTGATTCCTCGGCTCAAGTCATTGTTACCTTTCTTCATTATCATCTTCTCTAAGGACACTGGTAACAACTTTGCAAAGCATAATAAAAAAGAAAACAGCAGCCAAGCATGCAACAATGCAGAGACTGGAGCTTGCTGAATGTAGTGGGCTTTTTTTTTTTTTTTTTTTAAATGCTTCCAAGTTGATGTCAAAGTTTCTGCCGCGGATGTTAACACGAAAATGTGCAATGTCAGTTTTCACGGAATGACAAATCCTACATTTTGTGTGGCAGTTTCTTCTCACAGATGCAAGCTCTGGCAGAAAATTTCACATTTTATAGTCCTGGGGTACATGAAGTTGAATGTGAAATCTTTATCCTAGAGTTTTGTTTAGTTGCTCAAGTCTTTTACACCTTCAATAAATACTCCTGCTTTTTCTTATGTTCTAAGTGATGTGGAACTATGTGTTTTTTTTTTTTTTTTTTTTTTAAAGAATTCATGCCTGTCCAGCATTCCTGAAGAACTGAGACATGAAATGAGTTATTTGCATTTTGATTAGCATATAAATAATGCAGACTGAATTTCTGCCATGAAGAACATGTACAATATACATCAGGAAAGCTACATTAACCTGGTAGTGAGGAAGAGGAATAACAAGAAGAAACTTCAGAACATTTTGAATGAAGAGGACATAGGCTGGCAACACAAAATGCCATTGTGATTTTGATTTGAAATTAAAACAAAGGCATCTTAAAGGATATATAGTCAATAAAACAAGTACTGAAACTGAGTTTAAGGGGTCCAGTAAGGATCTACAAGAATGGAGACAAGCAGCAAGCCACAGCAGACGGTTTGATCTTGATACATCAGAATTTTTGAACGATACAAACAGGGAAGGTTGGAAAAACAACTGCTGTACAACACTGCATTATCACTGAAGCTGTATATATTTCCTGTTTGGCCTACTAGAGCTAGAGAAATTACAATTCATACAAATAAAAATGCAGGGAAAGAAGATAAAGTAGTACTAAAGGTTAGAAACCTCACAAACAGGGGGAAAGAAGCTGGAAAAAATGCCGGAGTCCAGAACTAGAGTAACAAGCGAAGAAATTGAAGGGGTGGAGAAAATCTGTTCAATACAAACAGAAAGTGGTATGGATAGAGTAGGAATTGCTCCAGAGAATGGAGATGACTAAGAGAAGTTAAAAGCTAAGTTACAGAAACATTACTATTTCTTTACAGTGTAGATATATAGAAAGAAAGTCAAGAGACATTAGCTGGCATGCAAGAGAAACATCAAACCCTTTTTTTCAGGAAACTGAAGGGAGAGTGTGTGTGTAAACACAGAGGAAGGCTTGGAAGAGGGTAGTGGAAAAACACTAAAAAACAGATACAACGGGTTAACAGGTGTAAACTGAAGCATAGGAAGTTTAATCTCCATATAAGGAAGAGCTTCTTTCCTGTGAGGGTGACAGAGCCCTGGCACAGGCTGCCCAGAGAGGCTGTGGAGTCTCCTTCTCTGGAGATCTTCCAAACCCACCTGGATGCCACCCTGTGCCACGTGCTCTGGGTGTCCCTGCTGGAGCAGGGGGTTGGACTAGATGATCCATAGAGGTCCCTTCCAACCTCAACCATTCTGGGATTCTGTGAAAAGGTAAGCTATATCACAGCTGACATAAGATTGGAAAAGGGCAGTGGGAAGAGGATAGAAAAAAGGAAGAAAAAAGCACTATAAAACTTTCACTTGTAGTTATACTATTTGCAACAAAGGCAAGCCTATCTGCCAGCACAACCAGAAGCATATGTCATGTTTCTTACCAGCTGCAAACAACCTATCCACTGGTGGCTTCTTTACCTGAAAGTTTCCTCTTGGAGTTGCTCTAATTGAGTCTGCAGCTGCAAGTGCCTACGACCTGCAGGGCTGTTGGGATCTTCGATAGAATCAGACTGGTTCAGGCGCTCCATCAGAATCTGGTTTTCAGCAAGTAAACTGCTCTTCTCCTCCTGAAGAGCTGCAACCTGTTTTAACAAAAGCAGGAATAACAAAGCTATGAGCTATCAGCGCAGCTCTTTTGTGAGTACAACAAAATATTAGCACAACCCACAAACGGAAACATACAGGTTCCATTACTCCCATTTTACCAAAAAGACACCACACAATTAATAGCTATCCAACTGCTATGTGTTGTAAACAACACATTTCAACTTTAAGGCATAGTGACTTACCATACATAATGACCTTAATGACTTACCATATATAAAATGTAAATTTTAACATTATTTCTCAAAAGCAGCTAAAGTAAAAGTCTTAATTATTATCACAGAAAATGACTTAACCATTCTACAGTCTGCTTCCTTTCCAAAAAACAAAGCACCCTAAAGTAAAGCTATTTAAACTCTCTTTTTTCCAGAGGAAAAAAAAATGCACAGGGAAATCTGGACATCCAAATCATGGCTTTGCCCTTCCTAGAATTTTGGTTTTTAACCAGTGGCCAACTGCAAGCAAATCTGAAACAGCAGCACATATTCCAAAGGACTCAGCCTCTGGGAAAACAGACAATGGTGCAGAGAACTGAACAACGTGCTGCAACTCAAAGGACTGCTGCAGCATGAACTCATATATGATTAGATACCATAAAACTAACATGCAAGCAGGAGGAAAAAAAGAAGGAATAAGTAAATTTTCAACAGACTGAAATGCTTTAGTCATAGCTTGCATTAAGTACACTAATAAATAAATAAGTAAATCATTAAACATAAATCAAGGTACAAAGCTTTCTCAGTTCTAATGGCTGCTGAACTACTTGACATAAGGACAAACCATACTCCAAGCAAAGTTACACTGAAATAGCCTTTTTGGGCTCCTTGTTTAGTTGCTCATGTCTTCCAGATGACGTATGCATGATTTACAATACAGCTTAGTATAAAGCCATTCACAGATGATGTGCTAACTCCAAAATGGGTGTAATTTCTTACTGAACTTGTTATAACAGCACATCCTCCAGGAGTTTTCCCATTCATGAGTTGGGCTTACTCTTCCCTACCTGAAGTATGATTAGTATGAAACATCTTAATACTGACATTACAGCATCAAGCCAAGAGATCATGAACTTTGTTCTGGTAGCACAAGTAAAGCAACAGGACTGCTGTGCAATTTTCTTCATTCTTCTTCTTATGAGGCTATAAATTAACATGATTCTTTCTCACTTCGATATTAACATGTTCAGTATATTACCTACCTGCATATCTAACTCATGACATCTCTGAGCAATTTCTTCTTTTGTTGCTAGTGCTTCATTTAATTCTTCTGTAGTTTTCTTCAGCTATCATAAAAACAAGCATTTTTAGTTTCACCATTCTCTGTAGATTGTGTAAAAAATTATAAACTACATGATCATAAATTGTTTTTGCGTTTGGGTAATATATTGGTTTTTTGAAAAAGGCAATTCTGCTTTTAAAAGCAGCAAAGCAGGAAATACTTTAGTTTGTGTGGCAAGCAAAATACCTGAAAGTAATATTTACTCTTAGACAAAACATTAAAGTTATCACACTTATTCTGTGAACTGAATTCAATCCCCCTGAAAAGCTTAAATGCAAAGAATTTGCTACACTGAAAAAATTGTCAACACCACTTTTCTTTACAGATGCAAAGAGTGCATAATTTCTACTATCTACTTTTATCTACTATCCAAATATACAAAGGATTGGAAGGTGGAATATAGGGAATAGACAATTAAGGCAAAAATCTGTCTAGTCACTGGGAACTACTCCTACTGTACAACAAGAATACAATTAAAATGGTGATGAAGAAAACTAGCCTTTTGAAACAGACACTAAGATATATAAGCAGTGTAGAAAAAAACAGATTCATCTGCTTAGAGGACTTTATAAGACATGTATCCTTCATATTTGCAAATCAATGCAAATAGGATAACAAAAATACAGTTACATGAAAACTGGTCTATAAAAAAACATGCGATGTATATATTTGTACAGAGATAGAGGTATACATATATTATTACATATAAGATCAATTTTAGACAGGCCACCTGCATTTTCCAAACAGGATCACCATGTCTTATTTCTCAAGGGATTGCTGACATACAAACAATAATTCCTTCTGTCAGCATTTACAGACTTCTTCAAAGACAATAAGATGGAGGAATGCAGGGAACACCATTGTACTATATAATTCTAGTGCATTAGGAAAAGACTGCTGAAGTAGGACAATGTTAGGACCAAGCTAAGCTCTCTAAGTAGAAACACAGCTGGTTTTGCATTTTCTCTAAATATAACAGACAGCGAAGAATTCTCTTCAAAACTTCTCATATGAATTGTGACAGTTCCCAGGACTGCTTCAAGGATTTTTAAGCCATATTTAAATCTCTTTATTGAGTTATAAACGGCAAAAATGAAATGGCAAAAAAAAGTTTTGTTGCAATACTATGAACTCTCTTTTGCTTTTCTCTAATTATCCAAAGATTTGCGTTGGTCTTCAATTTTGCTATACCATAACGACACATAGCTAATACTATTTTCCAAAATGATTTCTTCTTTCCTTTAAATACACAAGATGGGTAAACTCAGTCTATAAAGCAAAAGGATTTGAAATACTGAAATTTAATTTTCTATTCCGTATTTGAATTTTCCACAAAACCATTCCATGATTAAAAGAGACAGATTTCTTAAGAACAAAACAAGATGACTGGGCACTGATTTCCTATGATTAAAGGAAAAGAAACATCTAGTCTTAGATACCTGACGATCAAGGTCAACGTAAGCATCATTTCCAACAGAGACTGGAGACTCTTTACTCATCAACTGCAATTAGATTACACTGGATTAGAAAAGCAAAATACGTACTTGTATATTAAAAGCTAAGCTTCAAAGAAAAAAAAAAAGAGCTGATTTTAACTGCTGGGAGTTTTGCTCTAACAGTAATAAAAATTTCCACTTCATATTTATATGTAACATAGAAAGAACAGAATTTTCAGAATTTAAAAGAAAAACAAATATATACAGTCATTTTCTGAAAAAAAAAAAAAAAAAGCACATTCTTTGTCTATCATGAAACCTACAATTCTCTTTGGAGAGCATTTTGAAGCAGTATTAGGATGGTAGCAGCTATCAATTATCAATCAAAATCTGCCTCCAGTTGTTCAATCAGTGGTTTTCACTTTTTGATTACTTGCAAATCCACATGAATTCTTTCTCCCCCCCAGGTAAGGCTGGGGACATACTTAATTCAAAGAAATTTGCAAAGCAGAAATATAATCAAACCTCCTGCTCTGTATCTCTAATGTGTAAATTTATATATATATATATATATATAAATAAATAAAAATTTATATATATATATATGCATGCTAAGATTATATGCAAATATTTTGCAAGCAAATATTTGAAGCAAATATTACAATTTTGTGTATATTGACTTATCTATTTGCCTGCAAGAGTGTTTTTTTCTGTTGTTGTTGTTTGTTTTGTTTTTTGGAAAACATTATTTTTAGAAACTCATGCCTTAAAAGTAATATCCAAATTGACTGATGTGCTTATTGAAAGAAAAAAGTAGCTGACAAGTGGTTTACTTTCAACAACCACACTCACTGATCAAGAGTAAAATTGTTAAAAATCAGCTCAACTATAGCAAAACTCTTAGATCAAAGGCATCTTCCCAACCATCTCCAGCAAACGTATTAAAGTGATATTACTGCTGAAAGTTATGAAAAGTT